CGGAGCCAGCAGTCTGCAGGGCTCACCTTTTTTGGCCCAGCCGCGTTAGAGCAGAACAGCTTCCTATTGACACCAGCCGGTCGACGTTCCCGCGAAGCCCGGCAGCGCTTCGCAGCGCGCCCTCCGCGCAGGCGGCCCCAGGTCCTCCCTTTTCACATGCAAATCGGTGTCAAGAGCTCCCTCGACAAGACGGCACAAAATTGTTCCTAAATCGTTAATACGGCTTCCAAAAGGGCCAGCTGTGCTCCCGGAGCTGGACGTACCGGAGCCTTGGCAAATCTCAGCCTGCGATTTTGTCCCAGGCCCTTGCGGCAGCTTGCTGGGTGCCAGGGCCCCGCGGGAAGGGCAGGGGCACCATCGGGAGGTCGGCGTGCAGGCGAACGCAGGCTTGGAGCAGTCAGCTTAAAAAGGAGCTTGAGGATAACGTTGTGTAAGTACTGCTCTGTCTTAAGAGTTTATGCTTTTATTAAGGCAGTATAGTAAGGCAAAGGTCAGAAAATGGGAGGCCAGAAGGGCCGTGTGGATGAGCTGTGTTAAGAGCAAGGGAAGGCACCTGTCCTTGTCCCGCCTGCAGTGACCCGGCTCATTGCAGCGGGTCTGAAGTGTAGCTGCAGTATCAGAGTGGAGGACAAGCTGCCCGAAGTCGCCCCGCCAAATTCCCCGGGCGCCTGTCTTGCATTTGCACGCCGCAGCGGCGCAGCCGGCCCTGCAGTCGCAGCCGTGCCAGGGACCCAGCGCTCCGTAAATACGACCATCACTTCCACCATGCATTTAGTCATAGCTAGAGGAGCCAGCCTGCCCATGCAGCACCCTCAGATGGAGGCGATGGTGAGCGCGCCTAAGGAGCCGTGGCAAACCATTAATGGTGCACAGAGACTAGCAGGCCTGTGCACCTGTCCCCAAACAACACACGATCTCACTGCTCAGTCAGAGGGGTTAGCACCCTTCCAGGACTGAAGACATAGAAAGCAGGTAGAGAGCTCCCCGAAAACTTGCTCTCGTTCTACTTTCTGCACAGTGGACCACGCAAAAGAGATGAATAACAGATATAACTGATGACCTGCCTTCCTCCAGCTTCCTAGCCAATTCTGTTCAACTGCCATATGCTCCCACTGACTTCCTGAAAAATACAGTTCCCCTTACGTGTCACCCCCGACAGCGGTGCCCGGTGGCTGGGCTGGTGTCATGGCCCTGCGGCAGGACTCAAAGGCGGTTGCGCAGGGACAGCAGAACTGTCTCCAGGTGACCCAGCCCCAGCACTGCCGCGTGGCCTGGAGACACCAGGCTCAGAGCCGTGGGACATTCCCTGGAAACTACCGCGATGGCCAAGGCTGTCAGTCAAAACTCTCTAGGGGTCGCATACTTTGCCGCGGTCGACACAGACTCTTCAGTTCCCGTTGTCCTGCAGCCTGGCCGGGCCGGTGGCCAGACAGGGGACAGGAAGGCAAAGGGGGAGAGCATTTAATGAGCTGTTGGGGCCCAGTAATTAGAAGCTGGGCACAAAGAGCGATTCTCAGCATCTGCCAGGGAACTGGTGCCCAAGCCCCAGCAGTACATGCAGCCTGCACCCCTTGGGGCAGCACCAGAGGGAATAAGTAGCGTGTAATGGCGGGCAGAGGGAAACAAAATCGAGAGAGGTGAATCTAGGCCCTTTTCAAATAGCCCAGCATGAACTTATGTGCTGAGAGCCATGGGATGGAGGGCACCCACTCCCAAATCACAGTAGGGCTGGATAGGCTGTGGGGATGCTCAGCAGACACGTGGGATCAAGCAGGGAGCTTTACCTCTCTACTCCAGGTAAAGACTGGGGTCCTGCAAACATTTCTGACGGTCATTGGGTCACTAAAGGAAACTCAAGGCAATAAAAAAAAAAAGGGGTTGAGGTCTGAAAGAATTCCCAGCAGGACCTACAGACAGTCAAAGAATTTAGCTTGGAAAAGACTGGCATGTGATTTGATCATGGTGTTTGAGAATGTACCCTGGGAGAACATCCTTGGACTAAAAGGATCCCTTTAATCTCCTCCAAAAAACCTTAGAAAGAGCCAGGCTCTGAGACCTTCCAGCAGAAAAAGTCAAGGAGAAATTTGGCCCACATTTTTAACCAATAAAATGACTGTCCCCAGAACAAACCGCCAAGGAAGTGGAGGCTTCCTGCCTCTTCATCAGGGGCATCAGATGTCCCTCCGGACCTCAGGGAAGAGATCAGTCCTTGCAGGCAACCAATACTGTGCCTCGGGCTCCCTGGACAGATGGACATGTATTATGTCCAGGCTAGGAAATCTCAGCTCTGATGGAGGCACGGGACATCCCCAGAGCCAGCCTAACCCTGACTACATGCCACTTTACTGCTCTCTGAAGATCCTTGTCTAAGTGTTCCAATAACAAAGTCAATGAGTTTGGCTCCTGTTAGATTTCTTTTTTCCTCATAGAAGAAAAAGAACAGGGAAAGGCCAATAATGCCTTCAAATGGGCAGGCTCTGGGTTTCTGTTTCAGGCAAACCTACCCAACCACAATATAATGTTGCCCACTTCAAAATAAGCTTGTGTCCCACGTGCCTTCCACCCTTTTGTCCAGGACGTGCCCCATAGGCTTTCATAGCCCCACTCGCTCGTACTCAGGGACACAGGATCCACGCGAGGGGCCACAGCCCACATCCACCTAACCACTAATCTGCCTCCAACAACAGCTGCCGCCGGATGTTTCACAGGAGGGACAGTTATGAATAAGCCAGGGGAGGAAGCTGCTTTTTAAACCTCTGCAATTAAGAGTCTGCTAGTATGAACACACAGATTATAAATCCCTTGTCCTAAGTGCAACATAAGCATGCTTGTAGCGTAACATCCCTAGTGCGTCCAACGCATCGTGTCTCAAGCCTCTGACTTTGGCATTTATAGCTTGACTTCTGATCTAAAAGACAATAGCCCAAGGGATGAGCTATACATAACCGCACAGATGCCAGCGTCACTTCTGTCCTTGCAGGCACATTGCGCTCATACATACGAAGATGCTACATGCAAATCCTGCTGCTAGTCAGGCAAACCAGCCTCCTCCATCTTCCAGAGCGCTGCTGTGTACTGTGCGTGAGCAGGATTTTCCTCTGTTCCCACAGCTGCCTTGGTGCTGCAGAACTAAGCAGAGGTAAAATTACCAAGCCTGTATTTTTTCACACCTAAATGAATCCAGCTGGGTTTTGAACACACATAGGGAATGGATCCATGGCACAGGAGAGTGCAATTTCATGCAGTTGCTCTTCAGAAATACATTTTAAATTGGTCTCCAAAAATGCCAGCTCTGTCACTAGAATTTCATTAATTCCTAACGATGTGTTGGTGCCTCTGTTTGATGCATCCTCACCACCCACCACCTCTGACCATCCTGAGAAACCCCTTCACCCTTTTTGCTGGGTCTTCAGCCTGGTGAGGTCCAGTCCTCTTTGATCCGGCACCTTCCTAGAGAAGCACCCCCGGCCTAAGGGCATCCCAGGGGAAAATCCTCCGGGAAACCCCTCTGAGCTTAGTTTT